TCAACACTGAACTGCAGTTTCTGGATCGTGTGAGAATTTGGACCCCAGCTGGTGAGGAAGACTTGCTTCATTTTGTTCCTAAAGGCTATTATGCCAACAACCAAGAACCATATTAAAAGGCCTGATCATATAAGCAAAATCAGCACACCCAAACAAAGGTTAAGTAAGGATTACATCCCAAAGGATTAAGTAAGAGCCACTGAATAAATCTTTTATTTCAGAGAGATGAGATGAGATGAGAACCGATGAAGTCTCAAACTTTAAACTCTTGGACATAGGTGAGCCCCATTTTCATCCTATATTAGCCATTGTGTGCTTGTATACAAGGAATACAAGCACACATATAGGAATTCCAGACCTAGTCTTGAATTCAGGTCTCTGTGTTTCATGTGTCACACCTCTCTCTGTCTTTCTTCACCTCCACATTAAAGGAAGAACCTCCTTGTTTTGGACAATGAACACTTACTGCCTTTTCAGCTGACTCCATCTACTGTCTTAAAATCAGTTCCCACTTCTCTTGCCTTTCGTCAGTGTCTTGGGTTTGTGCCACTCATTTAACACTGGCTAGCTGTGCATAAAATAAAATCCATCCGACCACATAGGCCAGAAAAAGCCAGAAAGCTTTAGGAAGTCCTTAAGACCCTCAGATTAAAGCAACTCTCTAAATGTAAAGATGTTACACTCAGCTTTCCCTTCTCAGTCTGAAAGGATAATGTGCAAGAGCAGAATAGGAAAAATTACATCTGATGTCAAATTTCCTGAATGCTAACTAGCTTTCCTTGCCTTTTTGAATCTGGTCTCCAATGTAAGGGCAGGATGTGGCGAGGTAGCTGGACAAATAAAGAGTTCCTTTGCTGCCATGGCAATGATGCAAACAGAGCAGATCATATGCCAGAGGAAGTTGCCATAAATCAAAATTGGTCAATTCTGTTTAGTTTCCAAGCAAAGATTACACAAACTGGCTGGAAAGGGCTTCACAGAGAAGCCAACTATCATTTTCTTCAGGAAAATGCACTGATTTGCAGGTTGTTTAGTCTTCTCGCAACTCTCCTCAGGTCTGAAATACTCTAATTTTGGAAGCATACCATACTTTCAGGGTGGCTTGAACTCTGCCAGGGTCTTAAAAACATAATGGGTAAGATGACATTCTTTGTTTTTATTTGTCAGTTAAGAAGTAGTGAAATAAATCTGGCTTGGAGAAACACACCTTTGTAACATAACTTTCAGGGGTAAATCTTATCAAGGATTCTGCAGAGTGAGCTAAGAATGTGGAATACACATATGCATAGATCACCCTCTTCCCTTTCCACAAGGAAACAGTCTTCACAGTACTTCCCACTGTCTCACTGGTGGACCAGGACAGTATTCTGTGGTGCAGATAGGAATTTCTGTGCCTTTTATGCCTATAAACTCATCCCTTTTGGGACTCAGACAACAAACTGGGGAATTTGGCCTTCACAGTGAAACTTCTATGATAAACACCATTCAAACACCATCAGAAGCAAAATGAAATCCAGCTTGTTCTTTGACAGCTATTTTGGTTTTGTGGACTACTGTCACTAAATTTAGTGGGAAAGGGGAAGGAGGAGGTTCTGCTCCATCATTTGAGAAGCTGTACTCTCAGACTGTTTTATAAGGGACCCAGTTGGCAACGGTAACACTCACCATGCATGGGGCAGCCAGCAAGCAAAACTCCAGTGCAAACCTTGCTGAGTCCTGTCAACACTGCATCTTGTCTGGGCTAATGTAAACCAGAACCTCACCCTCCCTGGGAGGGGTCAGATAGAGTTATAAAGCATGAGAGTGATGACAGGGACTCCAGCAACATGCTCCTGTTGGATCATTAGGTCCATATTCCCTGCATCTCACTCCTCCTGGATGATGCCTAGGTTCATTCTGATGCCAGAGACATTCTACAGGCACACACAGGCTTCTTTCCAATTCACCCAACTCCATTCTGCCCAACTCCTCCCCCTAAATTTCATATTTATACCTACACTAGGAGAGTGCAAAGCTCTACTCAGTCAAAACAATGGAGCGTTTATCCTTCAGTTGCCTGATGTTTAGAGAGCACAGAGCAAGAAAGAACTTGGCTTCTCCCTGCTCTTAACTGATGGGCTCCTCTTGGCTAGCCAGCTCCTCCAGCTGGTAGGGCAGATAGAACAGGACAGAATTATTTTCTAGGCTAAGCAGAAACCTCCTGTCCCAAAGTCTACAAAACTCAACAGATAAGCAGTGATGGATTTCAATGGACACCAACTAGGTGCAGGCTTCCTAAAAATAGTAACAACTTCACCCACAGAAATATTCATAATTAACAGATAAAATATGACAGTAATATTTGCATAAGGGTAGGCAGCACCCTAAGGAGCAACAGTTTGTGCTGGTATAGGAGCAAGAAGGTCTCCATGTCTTCACTCTGATCTAATGCAGCCTCTTTCTCACCCAGGGTAATTCACTAATTGCTCCCTCTAAGGCAGAAGCAGAGAAGCAAATAGGCTGGTCAGGGGATTTTTACCTTCTTGTTACAAATGTCCTGTGGCCTGGCACAAAATAAAGGACACACTGGTCACAGTCCTCAAGGCTTCTGAAAGAATTTAATGCTAACTGAAGTTAATTTTGTACTCCTTATTTAGACAAAGAGGATGAAGGAAGAGACAGAGTGAGAGCGCCAGGGGAGCAACTGATTTCCCGTCATTTCATTTCATTTCATTATTACCAGAATCAAATAAGCAAAAACCTCACGCATCAGGCTTTTATAATCATGAGAACTGAAAATGAATGAATACATTGGATTACTTTGTACTGACCTGACTTCAGAGCCATTACAGTGATAGAATTTAAGACTTTTTGGAGACTTTTGATGTCAGAATTTGCCTTTAACTCATGCAAGTAAGAAAAATAACCTCATCTAATCATAGGAATCTACAGCTAGGTCTTTAAGCAAAATGTGCACCCAGTTCTATGCTACACTCACTACTGTCTCCTGAGGTTTGAAAATTAATTACCATTAAGCAAGGGGACAGAATTAGATACAGAAGAGCCAAGGTAAGATCCAGTTGCAGAGAGGGGTGGTTTTGGTGCTGGGACTTAAAATGGATTTCACAGCACGTGCCACCATAGTATGATGCTGCTTTAATTTTCTCATTTCCCCATCCAAACAGACTCAAGTTACTTTATGAAGTCTGCTGAATGGAAAAAGAGCAGCGCTTTGGTCAACAGCCTGTAGCCTACAGATGTAGTTAACTTAATAGTATGGCTGTGAAGGCCCCAGACCAAAGTCTTGCTGCTGAAGCAGGTGATGAGCCAACTGAAATTTGGAATACCCTCATGGTTTTGACTATATAGCAGCAGAATGGTCTCCTCTAACTTTCTGTGTTAAAACCCAGCCAGCCTATGACCAGCATGATATAATCCAGCAGCATCTAACTGGCTGCTGCCACCCTCAGCCTACCCCCACCTTCAGCACTGGCGGATATGTCAAAGCAAAAACATTTCAACATTTCTGATCTCCCCGGGGTCACATCTGGTTTGAGTAAGGCTCCCCATTTGGTTCCAATCCACCGATTTCCTGCTACTGTCCATGAAAAAGAGTGCGACTCTGTGGCTTCCCCTGGGTGTAATGGTCTAATCTGTATCTTGTTGTGCACTGTAGAGGGGAGGGGGGGATCAGTGCTACTTGGGAGCAGATTGCTCTGCCCCTGTGACTGTGTCCTGCTCTTATGCAAAGCACCTTTATTCTTGCCAGTAATGGCAGCCCCAGATGTCCTGGTACCCTCCCTGTATCATCCATATTTCTCCAGCCTCCTAATTGAATCCTTTCCTGGCTAGGACAGGCTTTCCTAGTTAGAGTTGTAATTTCCTAATTACAAGTCTACTCCCTTCCCTCCATCTCCCAGTCTCTCATTGTGAAACACAGGGCAGGCCCCACAGAGCTTTTGTGGGTGGATGACCACCCCAGTGAACTGCTCTTGCACTCATGTTAACAGAACAGGAAAGCCCCAGACAGGTACAAGGTGGTAAAGGCATCTGCTCTGCCAAGGTTCTGGCAACATCAAGATGCAATTTAGTTCCAAGAAATAGCATCTAGTTATTTTAATCTATGGCTTTAGAAGCCATTTATCTAAACCATCAGTGTTTTGCAGCTGGTGAAGCAGCCTAAGAACATGCACAAGAGCAGTGGAAGAGCAGAGGAGTTTAATGGGTCTCTTGCATCCTCATTCCATAGGATCCTCTCTGCAGGAGGGCAGTACCCATGAGTGATGTTTCACTCATGCTCTGAACAAGGCAGGGCAATACACACAGAACAAATTATCTTTTCTTACTCTCTCTCATCCACTAAAAATCTCAATACTGAGGGAAAGAGGTCAGTCCTTTTCCACACCTTATTTATCACCTAATTTACCCTTCTTCCTCTTAATCTGAGCTACATTATCCAATGCTGCCCCGTACAGAGCATAGTGATCTGCATTTTCTTTGTAAGCCCCATTCTGGAGCAATGCTCCAGTGTTACCACACTTAAGATTACCCTGTAGCACATTAAGTTGCATTAATTCAGACACAGCATCACACTGTACCTTGGGTTTGATACTTAAACTGGTTTGTTCAAAGTTAGTTAACTTATCATATGAACTGCCTTAGGGTGTGCAGGAACAGCCAGGCTTGTGTTGAGGCAAGTAGAGTCAGGTAAACTGAGGTACAAACCTATCAGGTGTATGGACTTGAAGGCAAGTTGTCACCAGCACTGGGAGGAGACCCAGCACATCCAGTTCCCCAAAGTGCCATCACTTAACTACTAACTCACACTCTTCTGCTGCACTAAGTACATCTGGATTCCATCAGAGCCTGAATATTATTAAAAAAAAAATAACAGATTTTTGGAAAACAAAATACCTCAAAGCACTAGAACAAAACCTCTGATCTTGAGGTCTTTCAGCATCTTAGGGAATGAGAGATGCTATTATTGTTACTAGAAAGGCAACAGTACAAGGAATGATCTATAAGGCACAAGTATGTTTGTTACGAAATGATTTGGATCCACAGAGAAATTCCATATGTGGTTTCCCCTCTGATGACTAGAGGTTCCCACCTTGGCAGTGATCCTGGAGTCCCATGCCTACAGGCTCAGCAGCATGGAAAGGGAGGGTGGACGCTGGAGGAGTAATGGGATCATCAGGCGCTGAGGCTGCTGCTTGGCACGCCGACAATGTTTGTTTGCACCTCTTTGAAGATGAGAGATGAAAGTGGCGCCCACATGGGCTGCCTTTGATTAGCTTCTTATTTTTAACATTGCAGCTGCGATTATTTTTCTTTTTCTTGAAGCATTTCTTCCCCAGCACCAGAAACTCTGAGGTTTCCTTCTCCAGGGAGGTTCAACTTCAAGGAAACATAACAAAGAGAAGTGTGAATGTAAAGGAGACTGGACAACTCGGGGCCAGTAGGGAATTATGTAATTTTATTTTTAATTTTACTTCCATTTTCCCCCCAATCCCCCATTCTCAGTGGGTCTCAAAAAGAAAATACTTGTTTACTTCTTTTTTAATAGGGAAAATAAATGAGTCCTGGGATTGTACAGAGCTGTCATGAAGAGGGAAATGTCTAATGGTTCAATTCCCAGCTCTGTCACTGAACCACTCTGGGACTTGGGGAAAAGTCAGTTCGCCCATCTGTAAAATGGGATTTATAATGCGTTGCTTCTCAGGGGTATTGAAGGATTATGAGTAGCATTGATGGAATGCTTCATGCACCTTGGATAGAAGGGGCAAGAGCCCTGTGAAGTGCTGTCCTTAATAGATACTTAGAGGAGTTTCCTTCACTGTGGTACTTATCTGACCACAGCAGCTGAGTGCCTCACAGCCACTGATGGATTTTTTTTTTTCTGTTACCTCTCTGTATCATAGGCTTGCTGCAGAGGAAAGCAAGGCAAATGGCAAATTGAATGGAATGGACCCAGTCACACAGAGAATATGTGGTAAAGTCAGGACTAATCTTTTATTTCTTAAACTTCTGCCACAGACTTTTGACTTTCATCCTAGTTGTATGGATTTTGGTGATCTGAAGGCATGAGAGAAAGCCACCTTCCCTTCCTCCTACTCTGGCCAATCACACTATGGCTATCTTCCTGTTGGATGAGGGGCAAGAGGTCTGGAAAAGGAGTCCCTGTTGTGCATTACTCTGTTCCTACCATAACATTTTGGGGTTTGTTTCTTTCCCCTGCTAGAGTAGTTTTCAGCCAAGAATTTAATGTTAATCCAGTCATCCATAGTAAATGTTCTAGCTTTAAGAGGATGATAGTAGAAAAACATCTAAATTTGCTGTTCCTTATTTTCAGGACTAATTTCTAGGGGTAGTGTAGAGCCATATATACAAGTGAAATCAGAGAAAACTGCTGGTAATTGATACTTCCAAAAAAATAACTTCACAAACTGCTGCTGCTTGTATCAACTTAAGTTTAACTTCAGTCAGAGTGCCTTAAAAATGCAAGGCAGAGCATGACAGCAATATCAAGATGTAAAAATCTTGAGTGGAGATAAGAGGAACAGCCAAGGATAAATAACAATCAAGCTCTTGATACTCACACACTTCAAAAGAAAAAACACAACTATGCATGTTTATATTTATTTGTGCTATCTATCAAGATATTTACCAGCCAAAGAGAAATGGGAGCACACTAGTTGAGTAAAAACTTGTAAGATGCTTATGCAAATCTAGCCAACTCTGAGAGCAAAATCTGGTGTTACCAAATATAATACCTGCTAAACCCTCTAAAAGACACTTCAGCCTTACTTTGGTCAGTCCAGAAAGTTTTAGGCTAATCCACATATAACTTAACCAGGTTTCCTTGTCTTTATGGCATTTCTCTTACTCCCAAGAGAAGTTGTTCCAGCCCAGTGCAACATCCAGGTAATCTCGATGCCCAAACAGGATCCTGTTCAACCCAGCTCCCCATGAAGGAATAAACCAGTCTTATAGGCTCTCCTCCAGGATATTAGGAAGAGATATACTGTACAGGACAGCTTATAAACTACACTTGCTTCAGATTCACTCCAGAGAAACAACATATTCCAGTCCTACTCCATCCAGTCACCCAGATTCCAGGACATTAAATTAACCCCCTGCCAAATTTACTGCAGGCCATCTGATCATACCATGTAGCTCACAGTAAAGACAAAATCTATACCTAGCTACAGCGAGGAAAGGAGGCAACTCCGTGGAAAACCTAGTTATATCATTCAAGGAGATCAATGGAGAGCCCAGGTCTGGAGGCCAGTGACCTTGGATTAACACAAAACTTAAAGGAAAAAATGAATGGTCTCAATTCAAGAGACCACAGCTGTTATTCCAGAGAATTCAAAAACCAGCCCTGCAGCTTACTGACCAAGGAAAAGTGCTTAATTTTGAAATAGAGAAAATACTCACCACTGCTGGTACAGGAACAGAGGCACAGAGCTGCTTTTCAAGGACTCCCAGGATGGCTGCCTGTGCCGCAGAGACGGGTCCTTGGTGGCATCAGAAGTAGAGTAACACTTTTTAGCAGCTTTTCTGGAAGAAGTTACTGCTCACCATAGAGAGCTTTCCATGGATTGTCTCCAGAAGGTGCTCCCTTGGGGATCTCCTGCCCAGGTAACTGTGAGGAGGTGGCAGGGGGGTGAGGTACCTGCTGAGGGGTCAGGAGGCCACGTGCACTGGGAAGATAAATTTTAAGGCCTCAGACTCCTCAGTTCTGCCTCATAGCATCCTTTTCTGCCTTTTCTCAACTTTCTCAACTGCCCCAGCTCATCCCTAACCCCCTCAGGTCAGCCTAAACCACCGCAGCCCAACCTCCACCACCTCAGTTCAGCCTCAACTGCCACATGTCAGCCTTAACGACACCAGCCTCGTCCCAACTGCCCCAGCCCAGAGCAGCAACAGCCCCTGAGAGGCTGCTCAGGGGCTCCAACAGCCACAACGTGGTGGCCGTGGAGAGGGTGCCCAGCACGCAGCTCACTGAGGGACCAGCACAGCTCCATGGAGGTGACACAGCCAGACAGATCGTGAGGAAAGGCAGCCATGGCAGGAGACTGATGCCTGCTCCTCCTGAGGCACTGCCTGATGGATTAGGAAAAATGGCAAACTATGGCAGGAAATGGCAGCTGACTCAGGGGCCCCTAAACTGGCCTGTCTCCCACAGACATGGGCCCTGCTGACCCACCAGCCTGGCTGCTAAAAACCTCTCCAGTGTAAACTCCAGCCCTACCCACAGAACACTCTCAGGAAGGGCTTTCAGAGGTACAAAAATGTCCCTGCCCTGTCACAGTTGACTGTAACTTGGAGGGAACAGCTGAAAAGGGGACCTGCCCCACCTGGCATAGCTGTGAGAGAAGTCCTAGAGAAAGTTAAGAGTCTGATTGTGTTTCATTATTTTTTAATTAAAAGGGCCATAATTAGGCCCTGGGAAGAGCAGATTACAGAGACAGTGATGTTCAGTGGAAGTTGTGAAGAGTCAGGTTTTATTTTTGGAGTAGCCACTGACTGCTGGTGCAGTGCTGGACACGTGAATGCACTTCTGCTGCCCTTAAAACTTCTTGCTTTGTTTTAATGTAACCATTTTTAGGCAAGAACACATTTTTGGGTGTACAGGTCTGTGTACTGTCAGGTCTGTACAAAGTAGGGCTATGCTCTGTCATGTGGCCATACAGGATACTGGCATGCAAGTCATAGCAACGCTGGCTATGATCATGTTCTGTAACTTTCTTAGGGACTTTTTCAATTTTTTTTTTTCCATCACTGGGTGAGAGATTCAGGAGGCTGATCCCTCAGCTGTGGACTAGTAGGTCCCATTTGATGTCCAGCTTTTGCAGGAGAGCTGGCTGCCACATTGTGGCCTGTTCCCCTGAACATCACATCTGGCAGATGTAAAACACACATGTTTTGACTGAAGCTTTTTCTTTAAAATGCCAACATTAAAGGAAGGCTTGCTTTGTAAAACTGAAACTGTAAAACTCTTCTGAAACCCAGTCTGGGGGATTAAAAGAACCACATGAAAAGGGATAAATATGACCTGGACATTTACTTCCTGTGCAGGAGTTCGCTGAACATGTGCCTCCCAGCCTGTCAGAGCAAAACAAGACCTTCTGCTCTTATTCTTAGAGGGAAAAAAAAAAGGAAAAAAAAAAAAAAAAAGGAGGAGAAGAAGAGAGGAAGACATGACAACTCTTTTATATTTCATGGCTTATGTCAGATACACTGACAGTTCTTTGCAGTGGCATCTCATGCACCTTAAAACCAAAAGATGCACAACTAGTACATAAGACATTTAGTATTAACAAAATATTCCTATTTGTACTATATGGTAAAATTGAGCTTGATCCATTTTTAATTGGCAATCAGGGACAGAACTCCTTTGGGTTTCAGTAGGAGTAAGATCAGACCTAAAGATACAATGGACTGAGTCCAAGGATTCTCTGCTGATGTACAGAAGAAACACATGGATAGGCAGAGCTTCAGTTAGTCAGAAAATGGCTCACTTTCAAACAACCTCATGCAAGATGTGTATATCAGCATTGTCTATTTCAAGTATTAAAAGTAATTTTTGGGTTCCAAAACCAATTTTACTTAAATATTATGAGACTTGAAACAAAAAAAAAAAAATCAGTTATAGATTCTCTGTACTTCTTTCCTAGGTTTTGAATCTTCAAGAAGATATCAAGTTTTTTTCTGGTTTCCTTTACTAATAATGAATTGCTAGAAGCTTGATTATTTTTAAAACTGAAACTGACATTGTGATTTATTATAGTATGATTTCAGAAGACAAGAGTTGGGAAGAAAAAATCATATAAAAGCAGGCAATACATTAAAGTCATTATTGTACTCAAAATAACTTTTTGATCTCAGGTTCCAGTACACAAATTGCAGAGGGCAAAATGCAATATAATGTAAAGTTTGGCACTGCCATTCTGTTTTGGAAAAAAAGTTCCTTTATCCCAGTGAAGTTTCCTAAAAGCCAGTTACACATTAATTTGAGATTATATTTCTACCTCATGGACAATGGTGTTAAATTACTCTGAAAGTGGCATTAGTTTCCCAACAGTGATAATTTCCAGAAACATAGCTTTATGTACAGAGACAAGACAGCACTTTCAATATAAAGACAGACTTCCAACAGAAAATGTTGGGCTCTGCACATGGAATGTTGTGGAGTACTTGTCTGCACCACTGGGTTGTAACTGCTGCAATAGCTCACCCTGTGGATGCACACATGGGATCCTAGTTGGTTCTGAGCTAGAAATTTTCTGTTGTTCAGAGTACTTGAATCTGTAGTTCGTCATTTCAGCCCCCCTGTTGTTTGGCATCTTTGCTTGTCTATTTTATTTGTTTGGTTTTTCATTTTAGAGTGATTAATTTTGGACTGGTGTTCTTGGATAATGTTCCCTGTCCCATATAGGAGATATAGACACCCAATAACCCCACAACATACTACATTTTTCCCAAATGCTCTCCCAACTGGGTTTCATCTTTGAGATGGACTCATCTCTTCTACTTGCAGTCTTAGTTTCTGATTCCATGGAAGCCTTTCCCATTGTCTGCTACTCTATAGGGCTGGGAAAGAAATCTTCCTTCTGTCTAACCCTGACAAAAACAAAACAAAACAAAAAAACCAACCCCCCCCCCCCAAAAAAAAAGAAAAAAATACAAACTAACTTTTATTTTCAAGCCACAACCAAGCAAAACAAAAAATGTGTTTCAAGGTCATTGTTCAATGGAGAAAACACAGTTCCCAAATCCTTTCCAAATCCAAAGTGGACAGTTCCTCAGTCATTTCCAAGACGGAAAGAGGCCATTTTATGATCCAGAAAGCATCCATTTTCTGTGTCAGTCCTGAGCTAGGGAGGATTGTGCCTGAGTCATTTCTAGGGGGGGAATGGCTGGCATTTCTCCAAGCTTGGGAGTGTTGCTATCACAGCAATTGTTTGGTGATGCCATCCCAATAAAGCTTCATTATGGTGTTCCTCTTTCTATAAACCTCAGTGCCCTCCAGTGTCCCCAGCAATCACTTATCTAATATTAGGATATTAAAAAATATGGAAAGATTTTAAAGAGACTTATTAAAATGCAATTAGCAGCATGTACGACTTAAGCAGTGAGATTATTTTTAAAAATGACTTGATTGTGTGGAATGCCACGCACCTTATAGAGATAATAAAGCTGCCAATCAAGTCCATTTTCAAATTAGGAAATTTTCATTCTTTTTTACAGCCCCCTAAGTGAATATTAAAACTGATTATTAACCTCAGAGTGTAGCAGCAGCCCCCGAGCCTGTGAGCTCTGAAAGGGAGGTTTCATAACCGAGGGTAGCCTGGGCTTCAGTTCCCATTTGGACTGAGATCTCTGTGTTTATTTAAAGGGACACCCTTTAAATAAGGGAATCTGGAAAGCCTGCATGGGTCACCTGTTTAGAAAGGGGCAAAGCTCCAGTGCTTGCCATGGGAACCTGGGAGGCCAAAGCACACTGGCTGCAGCGGCCCAGCCACGGTGTTACAAAACTGTGATAATCTGCAGGTAAGGCTGCCCCCATATGTCTGATCATAGTATCTCCACGAATCCTGCACTCCCAGCACAGAACCCGCCTTTTGTTCAAGAAAAATGCGTACATTAAATGAATGTTTCTGTGGGAACACACCCCTTTGACATACTCGGGTTGCTGCGCATAGATTTTCAGTGGATGTTATTATTCTCAGTTTATGTTGTTACTTCCCTCATTAAATGTAAAACCCTGTCATTTACCCTGCCTTCTTTTTATTTAATTTCTGTCCTACTGAGAGACAATCAAGTGTGACATTTCCTGCTATTTCACTTTGCCGGCATTTTCATTTTATTTATTAAAAAATGGATCTTTCTCTGAGAAATTAAGTCACACTACCTTGACAGGTTACTCCTTTTGCAGCTCTTTACTCCACTGTCAAAGCAGATTGATGCTTCCTGGATTTCTCTCTTTCAGGCTGGAAGTGATGAATTCTCTAGAAGGCAGCAAGTTATTCTTAATTTCAATGCTTTATTTTTGGAAAAATGTAAAGATTCAGAGGGACTCACTTAGGAAGGGGTAGTCAGAGATTCCAACTCCGAAGAAAGAGAATGCCCTTAACTTTAAATATGTGCTTAAATTTACCTTTGCTGATCTCTTTGGGAACACACACAGGTCTGAAGATATGAATGTGGACACTTCCCCATACTGGTGCCAAGCTGGAAGAATGAGAGACCAGACAATATCTATGCAGAGAGAATGTCACTGAGTTTGGAAGCATCTAGGATAGATGTTATTTTACCAGCACATGTCTCATGACTGCAACTCCCTCTAGAATCTAGCTGTGGCACCTGGCTCTGCTTAAAATTTGCATGGAACCTATCTAGACATCTTTTCAAAGTAAATAATCTGCCTGGGTTGGATAATGGGGGTTAGAAGGATGACAAATTGGGTTAAGAAAATGTCAGCAAGAGGCAGGTTTTAAGTCTGGAATGAGTCACAAGTGAAGCAAGTTTAGTGGCCAGGGTTCACCTTTGATCTTGAATTTGTCCACATCACTGAGTAACCACAAGTCATCCAGTGTAATGCAGCATAACTGACAGTCCATCATTGGCAATATTTTGGGTGGAGAGGGGAGAAAGATGTTACTGCCTTGGTAGTCATGGCACAGGTAATGAGAAGCACTGGAGAAACAGTATGCAACAGAGATGGCATTAGAGCTCCAGCTCTCTGCTGAAAAGCAGCATCCCCAGCAACACCCCGTGTCCTTTCCTGCTCCTCAAGCTTTCAGTGCACCTCTCTTCTGCTCCCCAGAATGAGCAAGTGTTTTCATGGC